AAAGACGAAGAGTCGATTGGTGTAGAAGGGGAAGAGAAGTTAACTGCCTCGGGTGTATAGTTTACTGGTGGGGTTGCTTTTATGTTTGGTGTTAACATGTCTTGTGAGCCAGAAGTTGGAGGTGTTTGGGCATTAATAGATAAATTATTCCCCTTTGAATCAGATATGTTTTCTTTTGGGGGTGTCAAATGAGTTTGTTGACTTGAGTTTGGCATAGTTATTTTATTACTCGTAGAAGTGTTTGTAGACCAATTTGTCGGAGAAACAGCCATGGCCGACGAATGAAGTGACATTACAGCAGAATTTGAAGAAGGAATAGAGCTGTCCTTAGCTGAGCTAACGACAACATTGACTTGCGTAGAAGGCTCCACACCTTGCATGCGAAGAGATTTATCTCCTACTTGCGTGATTGTTTGCAGTGCACTAGGCGAGGCGGCGTTAAGAGGCGCAGTGGAGTCAACGTGGGAAGGTGAGGCTTCTTCTGTGTTAACTTCATTTTGTATACCGTCTTTAGCGCCATGAATGTGAACGTTTGATACTTTGCTATCCATATCTTAAATAAAGGGGAAAAAATTGTTGAGAAACTACAATATTTGCAAAGTGTGGCTTGAAGAAGGCTATGTGTACAATGGAGAAGCGGTAGGAAAAAATTGTGCGTAGGATTATATTTTTTTGAAAGGGGTCAACACAGCCCAGCCAACTCAGGTGAGGAAAAAAAGGGGCAAAGGTCTTGCATAAAATTCTGCAAGATGGCAAGACAAAAATGGCAGTTACCTGCTTGAACTGTATGGCAATAGGACGTATCACTTGAGTTCTATTTTTAGGTCCAGTATTACGCAATAATATTAAATCAAAAATTATGGCGTATCTTTATTAAATAAATATCTAATAATTAATTCTCATTTTATATTATTAAAAAATATAAGAAATCCATTAAGTCAATTTGAATTAAACAAAACTAAGTCTCAATTAGGTACTCTAAATTAGGTTTAAGAAACAATATTATATTTTTCTAATAGTTTGATACTTAATCTTTAATTACTAGAATTATTATTAATAATTTATCTCTATTTATTCTATTTATTATTTCAAATGATAATAAATTGTTGATTTTTAAATTAAAAAAGATTCAAATTTAAATATTTTTTTAATTTTATAAATTTTTTATAAATTTTTAAAATCAATTTAAAAAATTTATCAAAAAAGTTTTTAATAATTTTAAATTTTTATTAATTTTTTAATTTTATATAATAGATAGTAATTTTAAAATAATTTTAATACTCTAATTAATTTTTTTTTTTAAAAAAATCTCTTATCAGGCTAGATATGTGTGCTTTATTAAACATATATATACTTTACATTAAAAATATATCACTAAAGCTAAGTCTCTATCTAACTCACATATCTCTATTTTAAAAATCATTAAAACTTTAAGTGTAACTTCAGAAATGATTTATCACTCTGTTAGCAGTTCAGATAAAGATCCTTTCAACTGTTAATTTCATTGCCTGCAAGTTACTACTGCAGATTTAATACTTTAATTAATATTATTACTTTTTTTTTTTTTTTTAATCCACAGTCAGGTTAATATGGCTTGTCTATTTTATTGTAAACATATTTAATATTTATATATTTTATGACTTTCACATATTAACTCATTCGTCTACAAAATTTAACCTTCTCTAGATGCAACTTAGGAGATGATATTTCACTTCTTTTATGGCTTGGATTATCCTTTAGCCACTCAGATTATTGTTTACAACTCATTACTGTAGATCTCCCGAAGTTTTAATTGTGATTAAAAATCAAATCATTTAAAACCTTTGGATAACCAACTATTTATTATATCTACTATATTACCTTGAAACTTTATTCATTCTAAATCTTCTTATTCTTCTATTATATTTCTGAAGGGACAAATAGAGGAGTGATTGACTTTCTTAAGGACTTGATCCATTTTTCTAGTTGTATTAATTGGTACTCTAAGTCTTTTGAGTTTACTAATAATTTCTTGATTTTATTCCCATTCAATATTAATGCTACAGCATTCGTTCCAAATTTCTTTCTTGAAGATCTTTCTCATTTTTTTACAAAATTTATCAATAGTTTCTTATGTTGTTGTTGCTGGAATCTTGTGAACTTTGAGGTGCTTTTCTAGGATCTTGGTCTTGTCTTTATATATAAAGCCACAGACCATATTATATAGGCTTTTATCCTATTGTTTAATATCCTGAATCCATTTTCTTGTTACTCTTTTAACTTCTGCCTGGCTTTTGTCAGATAGATCTTTTGTTTTCCTGATATACTAAAGGATTTTATTTTGAGATTTGTCCTATATAACTGATCTTTCATTTTGGGTCTTGGGACATTTAAAGAGATGTTTCCGGATTTTCTCTTATAAATTGCACATTGAGTATATTGTACTTGAATATAAATCTGGTTTTTTTTCTATATTACTTGAAAGATAGGAAGCTTATTATGGATTAGGTTTATCACAAAACTTTTGTCCTTGTTAGTGCTAAAAGAGGAGTAAAAGGTATTATATGAATTGAATTGTCTCCAAAAAATTTGCCAGTCAATTTTTTTACTAGGATGTATTCATCGGTCTTGAACATGTTTTTGTTTCATCCAAGCTAGTCCTATTTTCTTAGTGTTCCATTTTTTAAGAAAATCTCTAATACTAATATCAATAATATGTTCTTTCCAGGCTACTATTGTGAGAACTTGACCCAAATCAGATGTTCATTATTAAGTCAAAGGATTTTCTCTTCTGGCCTGCTTTGCTAACCTATCTGCTATATTGTTGAACCTATTGTTTTGATGGGCCTTGATCTTTTCAAGTATGGGGCAAAGGTTTTTCTTTTATACTAGATCCTTGATTCGATTTTATAGTGGCCAGTTGCTTATTTTAGTCCATTTTCTTATGGAAATAAACTTTTGCAACTGGATTGTCCTCCATATCTTGATAGCTGTACTACAATCTATATATATAGTTGCTTTTCTATTTTTAGGTATTGTAAAGATTGCAGTAAGTATAGCTAGGATTTCTGCTCTTGTAACTGATAGCCACGATGTTGCCCCTGCTAAAAATTGATTGATTATTTTATTGTTTTTAATTTAAATCCATGCAAGACCTATTTCAAGTTCATCCTTGCTTTTTGTACATTGCTTATAAGATCCATCAGTAAAGAAAGTGAATTGCTTTGTATTGCTTTTATAGCTGTGTCTAAGACTCTTTATTAGATCTGTCATATGCTCCTCTGATTGTATGGTTTGTTTAATCAATTCAACTTCTCAATTCTCTATTTGTATTTCAATCTCTTTTGACCCCAATGAATATGTAGTACTTGATTCATTTGTTGACACTGTGGACTGCCAATCTGTGGGTTTCCTGGAAGTGTAAGTAGATTCTTTTTCCTAAAACTTTTTTATCTATTTAGATACAGTAATAACCAGGTTTGGGATATGTGTGAAATCATTAATTGTTTGAATGTATGAGGATGACAAATAGTACTATTTGTATTAGGATTATAGGTGAGCTGATATGGTGTAAAAAGTACTTCTCTATTTTGTATTTTGACTTTTCCTATAGTAGTTCCTGTTGTTTTAGTCAAAATTCCCCAATTGGTTTTTCATTTATCCATTTTAGGAGTCACTTTTACCATTTGAAGTTCATGTTCAATCCATTTTAAAGTTCAGTAGGATTGTTTTAGCAAGTCTTGTTGTTCTGTCATTCTTGCTCTAGTTTGTGTATACCAGCTTGGAATAGGATCTTTACAAGCATCACAAAAATCTAAACTACTCTTCATTCTTTTATTGTTAGTGTGGTCATATTAATTAGTTGATCCAAAAATATTATTTTGTTTCTTTTTAGAGAAGAAATAGCTTTCATATATTTTTTCTCATTATTTATAATTGTCTTGATAGACATGATATCTCCTTGAGTATCAAAGATTTTTTTCTATCTCTAACTATTATATATAATCTGTAGCTTCTTTGTCATGGCCAGAGTTGCAGCAACAAGATTATCTTTATCAATTGTCTTGACTTCTACTGGATCATCAAGTATGTTTTTGGGCTTTCAATATTTGAGTTGACTTTGTTTAAGTCAGATGACTATTGCAATTCCTGAAGCTTTACTGTTATTTAGTTGACAGAACAGTGTTGTTATATGATTTTCAAGTTGAATTTCCTATACACTTTTGAGCCCATAGATTTGTTTGTTATGTATACAACTATTTGGCATTGTTTTACAAATTAGGGCTTTATTTTTTAAAGCTTTTCTATATATAGCTATTAGATCATTGCAAACTTTCTTATTCAAGTGTGTGTGTTGTATTCTATACTCTATACAAGGAATTAGAACTCTATTGATAATATACCTGTCATATTTTTTAGTTAGGCTTTTATTGCTAATTGCTTGGGTTACTGTTCTGATCTCTGTCTTGAGTAGATTAATAGTATCGCAATTGTTATGTCTTTTTCCTAACCAGATATCCAGGAATCTTGCTTAATCATATTTATCTAGTTCTTTGACTATTAATTTGTCTGTCCCTGCATCAACTGTACCTGAGTCTGCACTATTCTGATTGAAGATCAGGAGGATAGATTTTTCATTGTTTATTTGTGAATCATTTGCCTAGTAAAATTGTTTGGTATCTTCTAAGATATGTTCCATATCAGCTTTGGATTTGGCAATCCAAGTAGTATCATCCATGTATGCCATCACTGCTTGTCTTAGAGAAAGTTTTTCTTTGAGATGTGGCTTTTGAAAGTCCAGTATCTATTCTTTTTCCATTATATATCTGTAATTTGAATTTCCTTGAATTTTGCATAATAATGAATCGTAAAAAATTCTCTAGAGTAAAAGTGAGATTGTTTCCCCTTGGTCTATTCTATCACTAGCTATAACTGGATCTGAAAGAATTTTTCTACATTTTCTATTTTCAAAGAGATCTATTATTAATTATCTACTAGTAGCTGGAATACAGATTCTGTTCATAGATCTTTCCAACATCTTGAGGCTAATTGTATCATATGCTTTGGCTGTATCCTAAAAAAGGACCCATAGTTCCTTTTTCTTTTCTTTGACTTTTTCACAAATACTGTTTAGAAGTTGGATAGGTTCAGTTATACTTTCTCCTTATAAGCTTACGAAATTAGGTCCATGTAGAATTTTATGCTTTTTATATATATTGGCAAGTCTATTGATTAATATTTTGATGAAGCATTTTCTTACTGTCTCTAGCAATATTATGGGTCTTGTGTTGCTTAGACTATAGTTCCATGGTTTTGGCTTGGGTATTGAATGGATATTACTTTCTTTATATTTTCTTAATATACAGTTCACCTTAATTATCTAATCATATAGTGTTTGAGAGCCTTTTTTCCTTGAGGGCCCATATTTTTGAGCATTTTGTAGTTGATATGTGATGGACCAGATGCTTTCTTTTTAGAAAGGTTTTTTAGTATCGTCTCGATTTCTTCCATTGTGATTTCTTTCTGTAAAAGAGAATACCATATTGGATTTATTCAATCTTTTGGTTGATAT